ACTGTGCCACTTGCCTAAAGCGACACAAGCTGGCTCTTTCTCCTGGGAGGCACAGTCGAGAACGGAGCTTTCAGGAGCTTTCAACCTCTGGCTCCACAGCCAGACATATAACTCACTGAGCTCATTCAGCCACTCTTGCATGGGAAGAAGATACGAATTCAGGCCACAGTAAGAGCTATGGTGGCAAAGTGGGCATCGGGACACCAGGGGGTGCTGAGTTGCAAGGCCCTGGCCTGGCACCAGCTGCAGTTGTAGTGCATTATAATTGCAAGGATGTCAGAAAGAGGACACTGCCCGTACCAAGAAGACTCTATAGCAATGAAGAGTTCTGTGGAGACCAAAAGTGATGATCATGTTGGCTGAAAATGGTCCGATAACCTATGTTTTTTCCCCTGGACTGGCACAGTGATGCAGCGTTGTACTTGATGTGTTGGGTTGACACATCCATGCAAGTATGCAAGAGGCCTGGTGGATGAGGTTCAGGTCTTCCTCTTCTTCCACTGTCAGTTTAATGGGTTTCCATGCTAGCCGGCAGAAGGAGGGAGACCTTTCCCTCAGCTCCATCCCTTCCTCAAAACCTTACTTAGGAAAAGAGAGAAAGAAAATCCACTTCTCTGTGTAGCTATTATGGAAACACAGGTTTGCAGACTAATCTTTTTTTTAAAAAATGTAACCAAACATCTTTTATGGAATCTGCAGCCATACAGTGAATTGACAGTTGCGTAGTCCCAGGATGCCCCCAGAAGAAGGGAATGGTGAACCATTTTTGTGTATTCTCAACATGGAAACCCTGGAAAGGGTCGCTGTAAGTAGAAAGTGACGTGACAGCACACTATTGTTGTTGCTGTTGCTGCTGCTACTGCTGCTGCTGCTGCTACTACTACTACTACTACTACTACTACTACTACTACTACTACTACTACTACTACTACTACTACTACTACCCAATGTCAATAATGGAGGGTAAGAAGATAAAAGACTCATGCCTCACCAGCCACCCAGTAAAAGAGCACAGTGCCACACAATTTGGGTCCTAATTTTGTTCCTTTACTGACTTCCTTGATTTCCCAAGATGCAGGTAAAGCGTTCTTCAATGCCCACCTCTCTTGTCTGAGCATCAGAAGAGGACAGGACTTCAGGGAGATCCCATGTTCCTCTCTTCCAACTAGACAGCTGCCTTATGTCGGTGCTGTGCCTCAGTGTTCACAATGGGAACAGCTATCCACGCAAGGGAAACATTTGCTAGTCTAAGTTATCCAGGCTTTCCCATTCAGTCTTCTTGGAACTGGATGTTCTGGTCCAACCTTGGAAAGCAGGTGAGGCCAGGAGGTGCATACACCCATGGCTTCTCAATCCAAGGCAGAACCACAAACCAGAGGCATGCTCTCATGGAGTGACACCTAGGACTTTTGTTTCTTTCCAACCGCACACTGTCTGCTCCACAACCCAGACCACTTCTTCCTCTGGCTGACTTCTATTTCCTAACCAGCTCCAAAGAAAAGGCCCAGGATCCCATCAGCTGAGTCACACACCAATGCGTAATTGTCAGACGGGCTCTGCAATAGCTCTGCTAGGCTCAGCACGAGCTGTGAACTTGGTGTCGGGGTGAAATAAGGAAAGCAGGAGCATGCCATGGAGAAACACATACTGTACTGACATATTGCCCCATCTTCAGGGTGAGACAAAGGCCAGGGTGAACAGTATAAGCACTCATTTTATTATTTATCACAACATATCTCACAAGTTTTTTGCGTGGCTTTCTTAACAAATTTTTAAAAAAACCACCCCACCTATTAATCTAAAACTCTATAAAACCAATAAAATAATCTAGACCAAAGATGGGGAACCTTTAGGCCTCCAGACATTTCCAGCATCAACTCCCACATTTTCTCATTGGCCTTACTAGATGGGGCTCATAGGTAGAGTCCAGGCCACCATATCTGGAGGGTCAGAGGTTCTCTGCCTTCTCACCACCACAATGTACCGTTGACCAAATACCCTCCAGGAGAGCCTACACAAATTCCACTACCCACCAAACTGTACACAGAGCTCACAACACAAGTAACAAAGTAAGTTTAATAAAGTTCCTGACAGATCACACTACACGGATGACTTGGCAGGTGAGGAAACTTGCAAATCTCTGCAGCACTTAGGTACCCCACTAGGCATTTATTGTGAGTTATTTGTGTGTGTGTGTATTTCAACTCCAAGACCCATTCTCCATTCTGGGAGTTCTACCTACCAAGCCCATACCTAAATTGTGCTCATCTGGAAAAAGGCTGAGCTGAAAGCTTTCATGTCTTAGGGCAGGCCAAGTCATTCTCCATTCTGGGAGTTCTACCTACCAGGCTAAGCTGAAAACTTTCATGACTTAGGGCAGGCCAAGCTCCAGCCCAGTTTCCCATTAGAAAAAGGAGATGCCCTCATGCTTGCTGGGAGCTTGGTCATGAAGCCTGCCAGCCTGAACTTTCTCCAGGTTGGCACCGTCTAGTTCTGGGTCTGGAAGATAGAATTCACCTGAATGGAGAATTTGAGGACCTGGAGTCTAAAACAAAATGAGTGGCACATCCCTGTTGTCACCGTCCCTGCTCAGGGGCTCCCTTTCCACGGCCACTCGGCAACACTACTCTGTGGTCTTGGGGTGAACAGGCCCAAGGGAAGCCTGTGGTAGTGATGACTATAAACCCCTGTCAAGCACTGAATTTCTCTCAACACACCAGTCCACCAGCTATGGCAATGCCCAGGAAATTCAGAACCAAAAAGCCATGAGGCCGGGCACTCAGGAGCCAGTGCGTCTGCCTGATGATGGTAGCAGCCACCACACTCACACAAACACCCAGCTGGTCCAAGGAAGACCTAGAGTTCAGTACCTCTGACCCTCACAATCAAAATCCAGAAAACTAAGTGTGAAGATTTTTGTAATTTATTAATAGAAAGGGAGAAAAAATAATTTAAAAAGCTAAAAATTCCAAATGGTTACAAGAAAAGTTTTTTTCAAAATACAGCAGCAAATTGTGGTTCCAGATTTACAGCATTCAAAGATAACTCTCCAGAAAATAAGCAAGCTAATCTCCCTATCTCATATTCATACCAAATTAAAAAGAGAGGCAGGAGTTCTAAATTCCAAGAGGCTAGACCCAGCATAGCTTCATAAACGGCTTACAGACCCAGTTTCTCCCTCCAAGAAAGCCTGAACCAAAAAACAAGTTCTCTTATGCAAGTCAATGGGACATTTTCACACCTGGTACCCACAATCTCTTAATAACATTTAATCCCCTTTGATCATTCTCCAAACAATAGGCATCCTCCTGCCTTACTCCTGTGCCTCACTCTGAAATCTGCATAACCCTCTGGAAAGGAAGCAGGCTGATTAGATTCTGCTTTTGAGAACTGCTTCAATAATAAAAGATAAGTCTACCCCTCTCTATTAGTGTCCTTTGAAGAGCACACACAATATATGGCGAGGTGTCTTTCCTTTGAAGTATCTAGGAACAGCAGATAAAATGGGGGCACAAATTGGTCTGTTCACAGGCTGACTTCTTCACTTTCAGGTTAGCTTTCCATACACTCATAAAAACATAGAAGAGTCCAGAAACTGAATTCTATGTTACATATTTACCAAGTCCTCAGTTTACTCACACTATACTCCACATGGAGTGGATCAAGATGGCACCTAGCACTGTGCTGCATTGCAGCCCTTCAGATCCCCTGCTCAGCAAGCATGCTTGCAGTCTTAGAGAAAGAGGGATTCTCATGAAGGACGGTTCACTGAGGTTCTCTGGGTGGAATACATTAGTTACAGACATAAAAATAGGTAAGGGGAAGATTTTGTTGAAGTACAATAGAAGCACCGAGATTATGACATAGTGGGTTGCAGTCTGCATTTTAATTTGACAGGTTTATAGCTGACCAAATCACATCCAGTGCTAAAGCAGTTTAAAGGAGGTACAAGCATCTGTATTTGACGGAATTAATCAAGTTTAGCTGATAAATTATTCAGAGGCCAGAATTCTGATGGCAATTCATACATTCATAGCTTCATTTGATAACTCAAAGCAGTGAACTGCTGCTAACTATCAGGGTGCCTGCCCTGTTATTAGGCACCCGCCTACTGCACAATCTAGCACACACCTAGTAATGCAATGCTAATTGCAGCAATTCCCCGGAGTTGCTATGCAATTGAATTTAGATATGTGTAAATCTCCAACAGGATTCTGGCTATAACCTCAAAAATATATAATAGAGTATGCTGTCTCACTTCCTTACGGAAGCTGCTTTTCTTCATTATATTTATATACCAATCAATGGTTTTTTAAAAAATCCTACTAGTTATGGTCACCATCACACAACTCCGTGCACAACAACAAATGCTGACACGAACTGCTTGACTTGGGACAATTCACCAACAAGATTTTTTCCGACTGTCTCATCCTGGCATAACCCCCCCCCAAAAAAAAACCAATTATGGCTCATTTAATAAAATCTCAAAGCAGTTTACATTAATGTGATAATCTCTCTTGCGACAATTCATTTTCTCCAAGGAAATGTTATGTAAAACTAGAAAAGCTTGCATCCCACAACCACTGGGTCACTCGAATAAGTACTCTCGTCACGACCAGTTCAATGTGTCAGTTTCACTTCTTGAGTAAAGCTACCTTAGGCATCATTGCCACCGAAGGGGAAGGGACTCCAGGGGTGAAACAAAGTACAACTACTTAGATACAGTATACCAAATAACGTGATGGTGTTCTAAAGAAAAACTGAGGCATCTCTTTTCTTCGATTGGGTAATCCCAAACTTCCCTCTAAATCCCTCTGGAGGCAGTCATGCTCCCACACACTATCCACCGCCCTCCCTGCCTTGTTAAGTCAGATTCATCCAGCAAGAAGCACCCCACCCTCGCACGGCTGGCTCTGGATGTGAAACCACAGACGGCATCTGTCACGCCCCTTTGGCAGTCAGGACAGGAAAAGCAGGGGCGGGTGGGCGGGCGAGGGGAAAGCAGGGTGATATTTAAACACCAGCCCGATGAGCTGGGAGCTGCAGGCTGAAGTGGCAGAAGACGCCTAGAGAACAGCAGAGAGCAAGGTAAGGAAAGCCAGTTCATCTTGACTCTTCTTTCCTGACAAACTGAATCCCACCTGGGACCCTGCTTCCTTCTTGCCTTGTCTTGTGAGGGACCCATCCCTTGCCTCCTCTCCGCCTTTTAAAATTTCAGCCTGATTTGTCCACTTGAATTCTTGAAGAGCTTGCTCCTTCTCTCTTTATTCAACCTTCTTTCACGCACTGTCACAAACATGTCTCGTGTTTGAAATGCTGGTTTGTCAGGGCTTTTTAAGCCTCATCCATCACCTTTCTGGTCTGTTTTAGAAGAGGTAGCCGTGTTAAGCCTGTGCTAGCATGTCAGGCAAAAACAAACGAATGAAAACACCCCTCCCCCATAAAAAAGAAAGAAAAGAAAGAAAAGAAAAAGATGTTGTGACACCTTAAAGACTAACTGCTATATTTTAAAGTGAGCTTTCATAGACAAGTCTACTACTTCTTGTTCTGTTTACCTCTCTCTCTCTCTCTCTCTAATCCTACTAAGGCTTCCTACTTTCCACTCAAGTCTTAGATGGGGGAAGGGAGGCTCCAGATGAATGGAAAGAAAAAAAGCCACTCCATAGATTGAATTGCTTCCAAGGTGGAGATCCCATGGTCCTCTCCGCTGCTCCAATTTATTTCTCTCCTCATCCAATCCTTTTTTAAAAAATCTGGCCCTGCCTCCCAAACCGGCAGACCCAGGACAGAGGCAGCTTTGTTCATCAGGGAATGGAGAATTCCCTTTTCCTCTGGCTCTCTGCTGCCGAAAATAAAGCCACAAAGTGCTCTCTCAATCCTGCTCACCTTCCTTGGGACTCTCTAGCAGCTGATGCTCCCTTTCCTCTTCCTGCAGCTCCCTCTATGACTGATGCTCCCTTCTGAAATAACACTCGTATCTCTGCCCTACAGATCACTTCAGAGTTGCTTTTCGTCTCCTCTTCTCTGCCCAAGAAAAAAGCAAAAATGGATTCAGCTAAACTCTGCGGATTCCTGACTGCCAGCTTCCTCCTGGTCACTTTGCTGGGGGACCCTACAGAAGCCTGCTCCTGTGCCCCCAGGCACCCCCAGTCTGCATACTGCTACTCTGACGTTGGTGAGTCTCTAGACCATGATACAGCCCTTGAGTTTTTCTACCTGCTGTTTCTTCACCCTCTCCCTTTAGGCACTGCTGCAAGGATGAAATCCTATGTTCCTTCAAGTCTGTGTTATTTCCTTCCTCACCCCAGTCTGTAACTTGCCGCCTGAGCAACTAAACACAGAAGATCTAATGCGATTCTAAGGGGGGGGGAACCCCTCTTTAATGTGTTTCAGGCACATGTGAGAGAACAAAGGAGCTGAGCTAGATCCAATGGGTACAGATTACAGGAAAAGAGATGTTTGACCAGAGTTTAGAAAATTACTCGTTATAACACTTGAAAAAAATAATTTGTTTTTGTTACTGGTTACATTGTTCAAAAAGGGACTTGTTGCATTGCTTGTTACAACTGCATGCTACTTTTACATTACTTTGGCAGGGGGTGCTCTTAGAATTAGAGTAGTAGAGAACCTGAAAATTCCTGTTATATCATCCTTAAGACTCCTATAAGGCTAACTGAAAGTAATTAGGATTAAACTCATTTTGTGAAGGATGAAAACATCTGTCAGTATTCATTACAGTCCTGCATCTAAGTTCTGATGTCAAATAAAGTTCAAGCTGCATCTGCATCGCAGGGCTGCAGAAGCAGCAGGTTCTCTTCCCTAGTAGGTGGCTGGGCTACAAAAAGCTTGAGACGCCCCTGCCCTATGACTCTAGGACAGGAGTGGCCATCATGTCGTCCTCGTCGTCGTCGTCGTCGTCGTCGTCGTCGTCGTCGTCGTCGTCGTCGTCGTCGTCGTCGTCGTCGTCGTCGTCGTCGTCGTCGCCGTCTTCTTCTTCTTCTGCTTCTTCTTCTTCTTCACAAAATGCCAAAACAAGCAGCACGATCTACTACCAACTACAGTGGGGCAGTTTCCAACATTTTCCTGTCTTATCTCCTGCTTTGGGGGGCCACGTTCCTTTAACTAATATCATTACCAAACACTGAGGAGTCTTTATTTTAGTTAAAGCTTTCAATTTTTTTAACCTGAAGCGGCTTAGTTAAGTAAGGAAATCTTCATATAGACTAAGGGGTGTGATCAGATGGATATTTATCTTACTGTTTGGTCCACTGTGGGGACAGGTTGGTTTGCTTCTTTTTCAAGCAGTCACATGACATAATTGCTGGAGTGAACCATGCTGTTGCACAGCATACTTATCCACGCTTTTCTGGGTAAGATCCAAGAGGGACTTAAACTTTTTTGGTGCTGGTAGGATCACTCCATTTTGCTTTGCTTCCAGCACATGTGATTGCTGGCACTACACCAAAGCAAGCTTGGGACTGTATTCATCAGTGGATTTGGCTGCAGGCAGGTTCTCAATTGGACCTTTAAGACAAGTCAAAGAAAAGGTGGGGGGGGGGAGAAGGAGACCGTTGTTGCTCCCTCCTGTCTCCACCACACACACACACATTTCCAAGAGGAAGTTTTCAATTAAAAATTCCCAGTGGAAGGAGTTGGACTAAATAGGGCCACTTGAATTCCAGTATGCCCTTTGGATGCAAGGTTCACACCAAATGGCATTAATCAATGCTGCAGTTAAGGGAAGGAAGCCCATATTTAAAGTACAATGAAGGTTGTAAGCAATGTCCAACAATGAAATAAGTTAAAATAAGACATTAAAAAACATTAAAAAGCAATGGATAAGCTAAGAAAACTGCTCTGCTGTTTCTTGGCAATGAACTCCACTGCCAATTTTGGGTAGCTCTGTCCTTTCAGTTATCTGGCGGAAAGTGTGGCTACAAGGCTGATAGGCAAATTGGAATTTAGCCTTTCACCCAGCTAAGTTCACCCACCTCTGCTTTAGGATAAAGCTTGGCAATATGCAAAGTGTGGGCTTCTGGTCTGAGGTACTTCACTATCATCCAGGCCACCAAAATCAAGGGCACTTCCTTCCCATCACTTTAGGAAGGGAAAAATATAATAGGATCATAGCTTGGAAAGGATCCAATCCCCTATTGAAGGAGGCAAGCTACAGGAGAAATATCCCCGACACAGAGCCCTTCCTTCCCATCACTTTAGGAAGGGAAAATATAATAGGATCATAGCTCTGAAAGGCTCCAGTTAAGGAGGCAAGCTACAGGAGAAATATCCCCGACACAGAGCCACTCACGAGAGGCCACCACCTTCTGAAGGAGTCTGCTACACAGCTGAAGAGATTTTAATGTCAGAAAGATCCTCTGAACATTTAGTCAAGAACTGCTTTCTTGTAATTTGAATCCACTGCTTTGGGCCCTGCCATCTGGAAACTGTGGAAAAATAAGCTCTCCCCATTTCCCATGCGTCAGCCTTTCAAATATTTAAAGATAGCAATCACATCGCCACTGAATCTTTCCTTCTCCAGACTAAACATACCCCTCAAAATCCAGTCTCCAGATTCTATGAGAACTGGCACCCTTCAGCAACTGCAGCAGTGTTGCAAAACCAAGTGACCACTGTCAGGCTCTGACTGCATGAATGCAGCCTGCTATAATCGGGAGTGGTTGCAGCATCTAATACAATTCCACCGACTTTGGAAACTGCCTGGCATTGCTTTAGTAGAGGAGACAATTGGCCCAGACAGAGAAACAAACTACAGTACAGTGGACCCTTGACTTACAGACTTTTTGAGTTACAGACTTCTCTGGCCACAAAATTTAGGTTTGACTTGCAGACTGAGATTTGACTTACAGACCAGAAAAAAACCAAAATGGAACAAAAACGGCCTGTTACGGGATTAATCGGTTTTCAATGCACTGTAGGTCAATGGAGACTTGATTTACAGATTTTTTGACTTGAGAACCACCTTCCAATACGGATTAAGTTCTCAAGTCAAGACCCCACTGTAGTAGGAAACCTTTGTGGTGTTACTCTGGTGTGTACATCCTTTTTGACTTCCTTATCAACAAAACATGTGTGCTTTGGCTCAATTATTTAACAGGTATTGCTGCAACTTCTTGTCAAACATTTAGATTTCAAAGGAGTAGAAAGAGTTCTTATAAGTGCTTTATTCTGGAACAGCTGCCAAGTGTGACTGTTCACAGCCACCCGCCAGCTAAATGTGCCTACCACAACTGTAAACTGCCAACTTTTTTTTTTTTTTGGTTGAAGTGCTCCTAAATCTTCATCAACTATCTTTTTTGCATAATTCCAAGCCAAAAATGTATGCATAATTTTAGACTGAATGGCAAGCTTTCTTTGCTACATTTCAGTACATTAGGCAGCCTAGCTAAGAAAGAAAGAAAGAAAGAAAGAAAGAAAGAAAGAAAGAAAGAGGAAGGAAGGAAGGAAGAACTTGGCAGTCCACATGGAAGCTTGCATATGTATCATGGTATGCTGAGGTTTTATCCTCTCTGGCTATTTGTGGGGGTGTTTACATCCCTATGGTCATAAATATTCCCTTAAACTGCTTTAACATCATTTTAGTGCAAAACATACAATTAAATATCACTAGTGCTAGCTTCTTCCATGTGGGACACATTTCTATTCACATATTGATAGGGTTTGATGTGTATGTATCTATAACCTAGCTATATTTCCAAAACGTTGCAATATAAAGACTGAAATCCTGTTGCTTAGCATAGTAGGTCACACTAGAGTAGGCCCATTGAATCAGTAGGGATTTGGTGAGTGAACTCCTCTTTAAGTTCCATTCATTCAAATGGTCCTACTCTAGCTGGGACTTCAGCTTGATAAGTCACAACTAGAGTAGGCCTATTTGAATGAATGGAAATTAAAGAGGAGCTGACTCATCAAATTTCCACTGATTCAATGAGCCTTCTCTGGTGTGACTTACTACAGTAAAGAACAGGATTTCAGTCAACAAGTTACAAAATCTGGTACTGAAAACTCAGCTCCTATCACTGTAACAAGATCAGGCCAGCAGGTATACTTAATTTGCACATCTGATTCGGATTGGCAAAATTTGCCAGAGTTTCCTCCACTCCTGCTCCTGATTTGCTGTATATGCCAACTTTTTGTCCTATTATTATTTCTTGTCCAAAATTTCAAATTCTTAAATGTTTGCTGCTTCTTTCACTGTCTGACAAAGAACTGAGATTTATATATTATTGGGGTTGGCTCAAGAGGGAACAGGTGAGAAAGGGGTGGGTTCAGTGTGGGAGTGAGAAAGTCCCATAATGACTACTTGAAATGCCTGTTAGATCCTCTGTAAGTTTTTAATAGGACATCTCTATATCTTAGTACTTTTTTCTCCCAATGATGAAGTGTTGAAAGTATATCTTTTTATTTTAAGTCACATCCTAGGCATCTGGATTTTGAGACTCTATTGGGTTATATGTTAGATATCTGAGGTTAATATATCAGTCATGATAATAAGCACTTCAAGATGAAGAACTCCTAGCACAAGAAAGCTGAAAGCTATGTTCAGTGAGTCTACCTTTCTTGTCCTAATAAGCCTCCTGTATTAAGAAAAAAAGGTGCAAGGAATGGTGGGAAAGTAAAGAATGTATGGACATCCGCCCACACATTCAAGCAATTTCCCATGAATAAGGCAGGGCAATGATGAGAATAAAGCTTCATTCAGAAGAACCCAGCAATGAGAATCATAGAAACACAGGAACCTACTGACAGTGTATTCTGGAAGTTGTACTATCAAAAAATAATGGTTCTAAACTCTGGATATGAGTACCAAAATCGTCTTTGATTGTGGCCACACAACACAGTTCTGCTAATGCCACACACTGATATATAACAGTGTACAAAGGGTGGCAGCGGCACTTGGCAAAAATGACTCTGATTTTGTCTTTCTTGCTCTTATAATGATTTCTCATCCATCTATTTCATATCTTTTGTTCTGTGTATCTCCAAAGTGTTTACATTACAGTCCAGGGATAATTCCTGTGACACTCATTATTTTATTTTTCACATGTTTTCACAATTACACCTTTATTGCCACTGGGGGGAGCACCACCTCTAGATACAGCATTTGGAATCACCTCTAGCAAAGCCCCACACTAAAAACACGGGAAGTCCATATGAGCACAATTCTTCTCAACACTTCCATCCTTCACCAGTCCTTTAAAGTAGAAAAGGAAAAGACCTCTAAGGTACCTAATTCCTAGAGGTCCTAAAAAGAGAAGCATGAAAACACATCTCCCCATTTCTCTTTTCCTCTAATTTTGTATCTTCTAATCCGCTCTCATAAATGGAAATATGTCATTTGTTCTCTTTGCCCTTTGCTACTGCATCCTCTGTAACTGGAAGAGCACGTACACAGTGCACCCACACTTCACTAATTTCACTTGTGGTGGGAGGTTGAAATGAAAGTTGTTGCTTGCAGTGTTGGATCTGTGACGGGCAATTCAAACACGCAAATCACCACTTATTGAACTCACAGATATGAACCAACCCCTTGACTAGACTAGATGGGGAGAAATCAGAGTGGGGCTGCCATTTACCATCCAGTTAACAACAGGACATTTGTAACGCCTCTGTGTACATCTTCATTGTGTGAATCTTTGTGGGTTGTCTATGTCAAGAACTGCCAGACTTCGTGACATAAGGTCACATCCCACTCACTATATTCTGCAGTCAGACCAGATATGGTACCTACAGTCAGAGGAATCTCCATTGATCACGCACACACAATGTAATATACCTGGGTTAGAATACCTAGGATGGCATCCAGCCTTCAGTAGGAAGTGAACAGTAAGTGAAACATAATGTCACAGATGCATGGTGGAAGCAACAGAGCTTTTAAGAAAATAACTCTCTGACTTGCAACCTCTTCTTTGCAGTGATCAGGGGCAAATTTGTGGCCCTCAGCAAGGAGCGCGTGAACATCTCTGCCGGAGAGCCTGTGTGGTGGATGCGCCATGAGATCAAAACCACCAAGGTAGGTGCCTCCTCCTATTCAGACAGACTGGGAAACCCACCTAGAGCACTGTCTGAAGGTGCTGCTGCTGAAAATGGTAGCGAGAGGGAAGAAATGGCATGAACTCAATTGCTGAAACTAGTTCTCTTGCAAAAAAAGGATGGCTTACGAGTTTGAACACACAAGGTTGCAAGAGTTATGAATAGCTTGTAAAGGTTCATGTTAACAGCTACATGTAAACATTAATTTGAAATTAATTCATTAGCGTTAACAATGTTGAGTAAAGAATGTAATGTAAGACTCTTTTGTTGCATCAGCAACACATCGGTAACATATTTCTAAATTAAAAAAAACAATCAAAATGAGTAAATATGGTAATCTCCAAACAAATACCCACTGAAAATAACAAATGAAAGCCACATGAAACGTTAATTCCTCATCAAACTATTAACAGTGCTAATGTTTTTAAAAAATAACAAATTTTAATATCATGGTTAAAGTTGTAATAAATTTTTAGGCCACAAATAAATTTTCAACTAATTAATTCTGTGCTTTCCAAAAATGTCTTCCAAAAAACAACTGTACCTATTGCATTCTACCTGCAGCTCCAGAACTTTGCATTCTTCCTTAGTCATTTAATTTCTACCTTTGTTATGTTTATTCCTATCCCATCACCACTCTACTTTCTTGATTCGGAGTATACCGAAGTGTGTGTCGTTTCCAGCTGATTGATTTCATATCAAGCCTGGCACTGTCATTCTTTTTTTAAAAAAAACTGTGCAAAGCAGAGGCTGACAAGTGAATATTTGTTCAGAGAAATCATATTAAAACTGAGAAGTGAACTTAGGAACAGAGACACGGTGATGCACCAAAGGACTTCTGCTACGACTGACCAAAAACTCATCATCACGGCAAGAGCTGCTGGCCCTCTCCTGTCGCTATGGTAACGTCCTGGTCTCTCAATGACATTCCATCTGCCTTCTTCTCCCTGTAGGTGTACAAGGGTCCTGAACACATGCAAGATGTCCGCTTCCTCCACACCCCTGCCATGGAAAGCCTGTGTGGATATGAACACAAGTCCTCTCTCAAGGGAGAAGAGTATGTCATTGCAGGTGAGGAGCAGCTCCTTAGGCCAGGGATGCTCGAAGCATTCAAAGCCATGTACATTTTCCAACCTCATCCTTGAGTTAGAAGAAGAGAGATCCTCCCTCAAATCCTAGCTAGGGATGGGAAAGAATTTTGTTGGATTCAGGCGAGGAACCAGGAGAAGTGGGAAGGGGGAACCCAGCGGATGCCCCTGTAAGCCAGGCCAGCCGCCGCAGGAGTCAAGAGGCAACCAGAGGTTGAAGGGCGAAGGGGAGAAATGGTGGTGGAGAAGGAAAAGGCCACTGCCACCATAGCAACGTCATCCACTCCTCGCCTCTGCCACACAATGCCACCACTGTCACCTCAGGGAGAAGTCACAGATTGAAGGAAGGATGAAAAGGGCAACAGTTTCCTTCCTGAGGGAAAACTCCGCCCCCCCAGTAAAACCCAATTTTAACCCAGTCTTGTTACCTCCACCTCCTGGAACCCATTAAGGCCCTGTCAGGCGCGGGGTGGGTGGGAGTATCTTTAACAAACATGCCGCCATGAATTTTGAAGCTGGTTGCTCAGGTGCAAGTACAACGATCACATTAAATATTAGGTTAGAATGAGCTTCTGAAAAATCTATGTTGAATGTGTTTTCCTTACCACCATTAAAAAAAACTGTTTTTATGCAAACGAGGGGTGGGTGTTGCAGGCTACTGAGTGATTATAAAAGGGGGCCCCCGACTCGTAAAAGGTTGGGAAGCATTGCTCTATATTCACTGTTGCATATTTCCCTCCGTTTTTCTTTTTAAAAGGGATGCTGGATGGCGATCGCGTCATGATCACGGCTTGCTCTTTCATCCAACCGTGGGCACAGCTAACTCCTGCACAGAAACGAGGCCTGAGTTCAGACTACAACAAGGGCTGCAACTGCACGGTGAGTGGGCTGGCGGCTGGGAGGCCCTGCGTCCCAGCAGCAGCAGCAGGAGATTTAAGAAATCAGGTGCTTGCAAGAGACCTGCAGGAGTGCAGGAGTGCCAAAGAAGAGTCCTACGTATTCATAGCGAGAGGGATGTTTTCACGTTGTCATACAACTGTCTGAAAACAGTCACTAAAATGTAACTTCTTATCAACCCCCTTGGTTTGTCCTTCTTGGACTGACTCAGTAACTCAGCCCTGTTTTAGCGATATATACAGAAACCCAAGCAGCTGAGCTGGTGGAAGAAAGACAGACATCTCCAACCGTCTTCTGTGGGCTTAAATGGTTTCCTTACCATTTGTGGAGGGAGGCAACCCATCCCTCAGCGTCATCTATCCAAGAACCCTACTTGCTAAACAAGAAACAAAGTCCCCTCTTCTTGGTGGGCATGGAAACACAGACTAAACTCTTCAAAGGCTAGTTCTAAAAAAAAAAAAAAAAACACCACTGCAAACAAACAGCCTTTGTCAGCCTTATTTACAGGGCTGTAGCAATTACCGTGTACAACACACAAAAGAAGAGGTGAAACAAGTCAATGGAACCAGCCATGCACAGAATTCGTTTCCGTGCAATCTGTGTCACTACGCTGGTGGTAGAGACAGTAAACGACACGCCGTTGCAAAATGGAAATCTATTTCTTATAATTGCGCCCAATAAAATGAGTGCCGGAGATGTCAGCCTTTATTTTTAACATGAGGCATGTTTAAGTGGAGCAAGAACTAAAGGGCCATTTCTGTACTCCCATTTATCAGAGTATCTCTTTTTAAAATTATTTTAACAAAATCATACAAACGAAGTCAGAGCCTTGCCTAAGGTGTCGGATCAGAGAATTTAGGCACATCTCTGATCAAAACCTGTGTGACTCTTTATAACAAAAAGCTCTTTGCTTTTGTCTTAACCTGTTTGAAGAGAAATAGCTGATAGCACTGACAAGGGAGATTGTGGGTACGACACAGAAAATGTCTTTAGTGCCAGACTGATCCTTCCTTTAGCTGCTGACTGCTTATGCCATTTAGAGAAGCCAAAGCATCAACAGATGTGAGAAAGGAGATGTCCGGCATACAGCACCAAGACAGACATCTGCTCTTCAGCTTTCACTTCTCATCCTTCTGAAATTGTTTCTTTGACAGATCGTGCCTTGCACTTCCCTGCCATGTTCCGTTAACTCTGACAATCAGTGCCTGTGGACAGACGGGATCATGTCCAGAATATGGGATGACTTCCAGGCCAAACGCTTGGCCTGCCTGCCCCGGTCTGACAACGCTGGGCTCTGCACTTGGCAATCCCTGAGCAGTCAAGGGCCGGGGTCCCTTCGCCGGACACAGTGACATTCTTCATGGACTCTGATGGAGCTGGTGCTCCTCCCCCGTGAACAGCCCTCCCCCCCCCATTTTCCCATGTCGTCTGTTTCTAAATAAACATAAATTCCAAAACATTCACTGGTTCTTGATTGTGAAAAGGTTCTGTGCCCTTTCTAAGGACACAACAGCGATGGCCTCTAAAGAAGAAGGCCACCATTCCATTCCAGAATGCAGAAAATTCGAGCTTCTGTTAAGAGCAAGCTCTAGACCTTTTTTCTGGAGAAGAGAGAACAGTGCAGAATTTTCTACAAAAGGCTCAGAACAAGGGGGATGCTTAGAATGGCTTTGTAGTAGCCTGCAGCCAACATGACTACAGTTGTAGCCTACCGTTGTAGCCAGCAGCCATCTTTGTTCAGATAAAAAGCTCCTAAGTCCTGGTCCTTCCCCCTAGAGGTTGACTTGGGAGCAATGAGAACATTGCTCAGAAACTACCTGCATCATTGAATCTGATCCCACCTCAGACATGGGAGTTGTGTTCCATATGACTTCACATAAGGAAAATGTGAAACAATAATTAATAACAGCCAGTTGCTAAACATGTACAGACAGGCTTTCCCTTCTCACAACCAGTAACTACAGATTCCTTCTCCCTCTCCCTCTCACACACACATGGAGATGAAGGGCAAGCTCTACCCACTACTCCACACCACTAGCACAGCTTCAGATGAAAACACACTGGCTCCGCAGGAACACATTTTCTTCCTAGCTTTTACAAAACATCACAAGAGAGGTTCTAAACCATAAGTTCTTCTTTGTTTATTTGAGGCTGAATCATTTCAGGAGCATTATTGTGCCTTTCAGTATCTCCACCAAAGCCTAAGATGGTTCCCTGTCCTCAGGATCTGTTTCAGACAGTAATCATTGGTCACGTGTGACCTTCAGGCTTTTTAAAGGGGACTCTCCATGAGATCATTTTAATTAGAATAGAAAGAACCTTCCCAGACAGAAACAGCGGTGATAAAACTAACCTTGGACTCTGAAGGAAAAAACAAACAAACAATTTCCTGCAGAATGCACCTGAACTCAGAGAACTGAGCGGGCTGATTGCTTGTTTCATTTTGGTTTTACTGGACCTAAGAATGATACAAGGCAGGGTGTAAAGATAGTTTAAAATAAAACCTTCCTGCCTGCAGCTCACAAGCATACAGAAGATGGGAGACAGGGAGAGAGGAGGAATAAAAACAGGAAGCGACATAAGGATGGGAGCATTGCTACAAGAGCATGCTTCAGTGCTTGCCAGATGATGAGATCAAATTAAGTTCTAGGGGATGCTAAGGCAGAAAGTCCAACAGCAAAAACCACCAGGACATTTTAGAAACTCTCCATGGTAGAAAGGAAGGGAGAGAGCACTGCAAGAACACAAGCAAGAAGTGGGGTAAAGTCAGCCAGTGGTATAGATCAGAATGGGCAATTTCAGTTCCCCTGTTCACTCCAGTGACCACAGGAGACCTTCCCAGCAAACTGGAAACTCACAATAGCTTTTAAAATGGCTTTCTCTAGAACAGTGGTTCTTAACCTTTGTTACTCGGATGCTTTTGAAGTGCAACTCCCAGAAACCCCAGTCAGGACAGCTGGTGGTGAAGGCTTCTGGGAGTTGCAGTCCAAAACTCCTGAGTAACCCAAGGTTAAGAACCAGTGCTCTAGAACAAGAGCTGCAAGCCATTTGCTGTAGAGCAAAGAATGCCCCATAGAGGTACAATTCTTCCCCCTTTTTGGGGGGATGTGATGGGGAGAACAGGAGCTTTTAGAATGGTGTTAGGGGCTGCCTGAGACCCACAGGGTGTGTGGCACATACCCACTCTCTAAATACTCAAACAGCTTAAAACAGTCCATGTTCCAGGATGGGACTAGAAAACATTCCACACCCAAACAACAACTTAAGGATTAGGATTTTAAAAAATGAATCCAGGTTTCCACTTTAGTTCTCTGAAAAGCACGGCACAGAAGTTTGTAGTTGCATCAAGTCATAAATGCCACCCTAACAACAGGCTTCAAAGCATCTTATCGCGATACCAATCCGAACAGACTGGATCTCATCTGATTTTGGAAGCTTAGTGAGATCCAAGTAGGTCAGAACTTGGATGGGGGAACCAACAGGGAATACCAGGGATCTGTAGCTAAAGGAAAGAATCCTGCCTGGAACTCTAGCGAGCCAGTGCTACCAATCAGAGCTGCCAATACCGAACTTCATGAAACAACAGCCTGACTCAACGTTAGGCAGCTTCCTAGGTTTTAGTCAAAGTAATACGTCTAAGACTGGAGAGAGGGGAAAGTTGTGTTTTTATTGCTTTTTTTAAAAATTGTGTTCACAGTTTGTGTCTTTTAAATAGCATTGTCAATTACGCATGGGACTTACATATTTTTTGGATACAGCCCAGATATTAGCAAAAAATTTCCTCAGTCAGAATTCTGGGAGTTTCAGCCAAATAAATAAATAAATCAGTCTTCTCAGATGTTTCACTTACCACTGAGGAATAAAGGCTCTGTTGGGATCTTTAGGGAGATGGAGGAAGTGGCTTGGTAGAGCTAAGCTCTCTGGGAGCTGCAAGGCACAAAGGGCCCTGTTAATCTCCCTACCCATGAGACTCCATACAGGTTGCCGCTCAGGAATCTACTAGGCACCTAATGACTTGCAGCTCCCACAAAGCTTAGTTCTGTCCAGATACCTTCCCCATCTGTGTGAAGATGCATCATGTTACTGACGGAGCCGTTGCTCCTCAGCTGCAAGCAATTCAGAACTCCTAGGAGGACTTTGAATATTTTTTGAGAACTCCCAGAATCCTAGCTGAGAGTATTCCTGTGCACTTCAGGGGTCTGCAGCCCGAAAAATATAGAAGCCCAATGCCTATTGTCAACAAAGGAACTCACTGAGGTACCTTATCCTAGAACAACTTGGCCTAGACAAAATCTTTGCCCAAGATTTTGCACGAATATGCACGAATATAAGTTCTTGCTTGTTTGCACCAGATAAAACCACTGGGAGGATGCCCTTACCTTTTTTTTTACCTTGTTTACACAGCAAAATATATTCAGCCAGCCTTCATATGCTGCGATGAAGTATATGGATGGACCAGCCTTATCTTAAGTATCCATAGGAGGCTGTCCTTGTGGCCCTGCTGGATCAGCAGATCAGAATTATCTGCCAGCTGCTCTCCCCTTTCCAGATCCAGCCCCGACCGCAGCCCACATCCTTCCAGTCATGGTCAACATGAACCACAGGTTGGAAACGCCTAAGTCCAAACTGAGATGTGGCTGCCTGCAGCAATAACTTTGTCATGCCTGTGGACGTGCCAGCTAAGGCGAGATAGGATGTGACCTATTTGAACTCTAAAAGCAGCGGGATCGCAATCATTCCGGATCATTTAATTCACAGTTTGAGACATGCAGCGTGCACTAACTCACAAGTCTTCCACAGTCAGAGGTCACATCCCACAGCCCTGCCATTAACACCTCTGATCAGTGAAGAACACCAGACATAGCAGAGAGCAGAAAACGGAGAGGGATGATAAGAAGGAAGTTCCCAGCCTTCCACCCTTCAGCCCAACTTACCATCTCCTTATGATTGGGATAGAAGGTCTGGTCAATGAGGGGGAAATCTTCCGGCCCAAGTTTGCGATGCAGGCGAACCATCTGGGCAAACTGTGGGAAGAAGTAAAGTGAGAGAAAAAAGGAAGATGCATATAAATCCATTCTCACTGGCTTTCCCGCTACTTTTTTTGATGGCCCCATTTCTTCTCTACTAACCATAACCCCACAACCCCTTCCCTGCCTGAATATGCCACTGAAGACAAGACCTTCACCTAACACAAAATGTGGCAAATACATGGATTCATCCGGCTACATTAGATGTCTATTATCAGCTCCTGGGTTTAATTCTCAGTGGTGACCCTAATCTTCCAAGCCACTGTACCTCAGAGCGTGCCCTCCCCCTCAGAGATGCTCTGTCCGCATTCTGGTCAAGTTATTTATTTATTTATTTTAAAAATATATTTTTTATCCTGCCTTTTTCCTTTAAAAGGGTCCAGTTCATTTTCTGGACTTCAGTTCCCAAAATTCTTCAGCCAGCAGCTAGGTCAGTAGTTATGCCAGCTGGGGTGAGGTTGGTGGGTCTTAGACCTGTAATCCAGAAAAGTAGCTTTTCCAGACCCTTGAGCACTTCCCAATCCTCAGAGAAGTTCTGCATCATTTTCCAAATACTCGTGAAGCATGTGGACTTGAGCCTTTACCACTTGTGCCACAGAGCAGCCCAAAGCTTTTAAACATTGTTTTAAAAATAAAAAAACCCTCCAGCTTCCTTGATAGCAGGGGGATTTGTAAAGCAAATAAGTAATATTTCCAAGTTCTTGGGTAGCCTTCCCATGGAATCATACTGAGATTAAGACAATTGGTGGTGATTTTCAGTCATTAAAGGCTTCCTCCACCCTAGTTTCAAGGCTCCCAAAGGCCTCCCCAGGTCAAAAGAGTTCAAGACAGAGCCTCAGAAGCAAGGGAAGTGGAAATAGGAAACTTCTAGTGAGTGATAAAAAGCATAATGCTGATGACATCATCCGCTTGCATGGGCATAACTTTATGCATGAGAAATTTGACCAATATGCTTTTATTGAATTATTTTGCTTTGAATGACAAATTTAAACACCAGTCCGATATCTGACAGCCAACCCTCAAATATTTTGATCGACTGGCCAATAAAACTATCCTGGTTACAAAAACAGTAGGAACCAGACAAATTAGTCCTAAAGATCCAGCTTGCTTCTCCGTACCCTGCACCAAATAAACTGCCTCTTCCAGTCCTATTTTTAAAAAAAAAAACCGTCAATATACAAGTCTGCTTCTTCTCCCAGGCATCAGTTTCCACCACTCACCACCCAGGGTTTGTCGCAAAAGTTGTACACCGAGTGCAGGGAGTTGACACTGGGCACTCCTGCGTACTGCAGCCCAATCACGATGCCACGATGGTCTCCTCCACGTGCCATGCTGAAGGCATGCTGGCGGACCAACACAAAGTCGGGCTTCAGGCTCCTAAGAGAAGAAGCAAGATGCTGTCAGCAATTAAGCAACCAGTGGAGAAAAGAGG